GGGTAGAGAAGTGCAGCAGTGAATGAATGGAAATCCAAATTCTCTGTAAATGTTCATTAAAACATAGTATATATGCATCCCTGCCATATACCTTTCGTGATTTTGAAACATGCAGTTTCCTGTCCTGATGACTGCCTCCTGGTCCAAGTATAGGTTTTGCATAAACATAATCAACTATTCTGGGATTGCCATTCTTCTCAAAATTAGTCACAGTTTGGTGTGATACACACAGTCAAATGACTTCGCATAGTCAATGAAACAGACTTTCCTTTGGTACTCACTGCTTTCAGCTCAGATCCGTCTAACTTTGGCTATAATGCGTCCCTAGTGCCATGGCCTATTCTAAACCCAGCCTGCACATCTTGCAGTTCTCTGTTGTGCTGTTTTAATTTTCAGTAGGATCTAGCTTGCATGTGATATTAACGATACTGTTCGGGAATTTCTGCACTCTGTTGGATCACTTTTTTTTTTTGGAATGGGAATAAATGTGAATCTCTTCCAGTCAGTCGGCAAGATAGTTTTCTTCTATATTTCTTGGCACAAGCTGGTGAGCACATCCAGGCCAGAATCTGTGAGTTGAAATATGGCAATCGGTATGCTGTCAATTTCTAGGGTCTTGAATTTTGCCAATTCATTCATAGCACCTTGAACTTCCTCCTTCATTTTCATAGGTGCTTGGTTATTTGTTGTTTCATGAAATTCTTTTGTGTCAGCCAATTTTTTGGTATAGTGACTCTGTGTAACTCTGTGTACTCCTTCCATGTTTTTTTGATGCTTCCTAGGTCATTCAACATTCTGCCCACAACATCCTTAAGTACTGAAACTCAAGGTTTGAATTTATTTATTCTTCAATTCCTTTAGCTTAAAAATGCTGAGTTCGTGACTTTTGTTTATCGAACTTCAGTTCTTTGCACATTTCATTATAAAACTTTGCTGCTTCTTCTCATGCTGCTATTTAAAATCTTCTCTTAGGGGAGCTCTGGTGGCCTAGTGGCAAGGAGCTGCAACTACAATCCCAGAGGTGCATGGTTCGAATTCACTAGATGCTCTGCCGGGGAAGGAGGGACAATTTCCTCCTGTACCAGTCAGATCTGATTTGACGGTACACACACACA